AGAGTCCACTGGCCAAAGCAGCCATTGTCTCCAGGAGAACTGATCTTGGTCATCTGGACATCAGTTTTAAAAGCTGGAGATCTCCATGTGCCACCTGGAGGTTGGATTATGTTAATTTGGGGCTATGCAGTGGCAGGTAAGGTGGAAAACCACCTCCTCCTATGCCATGTTTTCTGAGTTCCAAGGGTCTGAAAAGTGGTTCCATAGCCAATTACACGGTTGCCAACTCTGGGTTCGGAAATACCTGTAGATTTGAGGGGTACAGCCTGGGGAGGGCAGGGTTTGGGGTGCGGAGGGACTTCAGCAGGGTATAATGCCATAGAGTTCACTGCCCAAAGCAGCCATTGTCTCCAGGAGAACTGATCTTGGTCATCTGGACATCAGTTGTAATAGCTGGGAAATTTTCTGTAGGGGAAATGATGTGCTGTAGCTGGGGAACACAGTGATTTGTGGGAGATCTCCAGGACCCACAGGGAGATTGGGGTATTTATTTTACCTCAGGACTCCCAACAGCAACAGCAAACTGTTTAGAATGTTAGAGGCAAAGGCCAATCAGGCCGCATAATCAAATGACCTCTGTGTTCTGACTGGCTATTGGGGGGAGAGAAAAAGCAAACTGTTTAGAATATTGGGAGGCGAGACTCAGGCAATGCAGCCAGTGGATAGGGACAGCTTCTGAATGACAGATCACGGAGCCAAAGGCTGTGAGCGCTGTGTGGAATGTTCAGCAACATGCCACCACCAAATCAGCTTTATAATATAGGAGAGATAAGTCTCCAAGCAGCAAGAAAGACTGAAAACGAGTGCTAACAAACATTCTTAGTCACCTCCTAGGGGACAGTCTGCATAGACTCTACAGCTGAGGAGGTAATGCTAGATCACAGAAGCTGGTACATAACAGAAGTAACCAAGACAAAGGCTGTGGTATTTCAGTGCTAAGGGCCCATGCAAGTGGTTTAAATTCTGTGTAAAGACCGAGATCCTCCAAAGGACCATGTAATTTGCAGATCACTATTCCTATGGAGGACGTTGTGAGAAAGTTATTCCCAGTGCTGCTTCTCACTTCAAGTCCAGTGTCCAGCAATATTTAAAGCACGGGGTGCAGGAGGGGAAATCACCTCAGGGAATAAAACAACAACAAATGTCCTTACAGCTGATACCCAGAAATGAAAGTCTGAGGTCAGAACAGGAAAGGAAGACTAAACCTGAGGGGGGAAATCCTGAGGAAAATATTCATGAAGCTGCTTCAGGAAAAGAACTGTTCCCTTCCCCTTTGGGTCTGCGTAGAGAGGCAAAGTTCTCCCTCTGCAGAGGGGACTTGGTTATCAACTTTTTGGCTAGAGCTCTAGAATATTCCAAAGCACTTCTGTACGAGCACAGAACCTATATGAGGGACTGCAGAGACCATGAAGAAGAAAGGAAGGGATCTTATTGCCTGTATTTTTGAAAATTTATCAGTGATAGCTGTCAACCTTGTTTTGACAGACTTCTCATTAATGTATCACATATAAATAAACCAATTAACTAGAGGGGCTAGAATTTCTCTTGAAAACTTTTACAAGAAAACCACTGTGTCTCTGACATGTCACGAGCAGAGACAGACAACATGTGGTAATTATACTATATTTTTTCTTCCATTTGACTTCAAAGGCCTTGTGGAAGAAATCACATTTAAAAAAAAAAGAACGGGAAAGAAAAACAAATCATGTAGAACTCTTTTGAATGTTCGCATCATCTCTTTGAAGGATGGAGCTGGCATTGGGATACCATGGTGGTAGCGAGAGTGAACTACAACTTTTCTGAAAGTATGAGAAAAATTATTAGAAATCTGAATGCAGAAGCAGTGCCTCACTGGGGGGAAAACTGCATTTCTGCATGTTAGACTTACACTGGGCACATTCAACAGTAACTTTACATAAGGAACAGAGGAATAACAGTGCTCAAATTAGGTGTCCAGAACCTGGTCTCCCTATCTCTTCTGAAAGGCTGTCTTTAACTAGTTGTTTAAGAAGGGGAGGGGAGATGCTTCAGCCTCTCTACCTCCAGGAAGCCAAAGAACCAGTGTAGCATAGCGCATAAGAGTGGTGGACTCTAATCTGGAGAACTGGGTTTGATTCCCCACTCCTCCACAGGATGCCTGCTGGGTGACTTTAGGCCAGTCACAGTTCTCTCAGAACTCTCCTCCAAATATTATGCAGTTTTTATCACATGTAACTCAAGGTTGGTAACTTTTGCTAAAAATGTTATAGTTGTATACTGCTCTATGGTACACACTAGTTTTATGTTGAATGATTGATTGTTGGTTTATAAAATAAAATTGTTATTGGGGGAAAAAAACAAAAAAGAACTCTCTCATAAGGTGCCTGTTATGGGGAGAGGAAGAGAAGGCTGCTTTGAGACTCCTTACAGTAAATGGGGTATAAAAACCAGCTTCTTCCAGGGGGCTGTGGCCCAAATCTCTCCACCATGTCGCTTGTAGCTATGTGCCTGGTTAAGAAAGGCTGTTTGGTTTCCAACTCCACATCACTGCATTTACTCTTTATGTTATGATCCCAGGGAGGATTCTTTCTGCTGCCTTCCTGCCCCTCTGCACCCCACCCCTCGCAGCTAGTTCAGCTAGATACATTCCCCCTCTATCCATCAAAATATCTTGCAATAACAAGTTCTGGTTGCCTCAGATAGTGCCATCCTAAGCAGAGTTACACCCTTCTACCCCCATTGACCTTGATTCATTTAGATGGGGGTAACTGTGCTTAGGATGGCACTAACAATCTATAACAATCCACCCCCTTTTTCCATGAAGTTACTTGGTGACTTTGGACCAGTCACCCTCTCTAAGCATAACCTACCTTACGGGGTTGTTGTGAAGATAAAATAGAAGAGGTGGAAAATAATGTATGCCACCCTGACCTCCTCAGAGGAAGGGTGGAATAAAAATGTACCCCCCCAAAAAAAAAATCAACCAATCAGTTGATCAATCAATAAATAAATAAATACAAAGACTATGGAAAAACAGCTCACTAACAAAACTTCCCTTCTATCTGGGCAATGTTGGGGTCCAAAAGAATTCTGGCCCCAATGGGTATAGACCATGTTCTTAAACCCTAGTGGGGGAATCCTTCAGGAACCCTATTTTGGTAAATGGGATCCTGTCTATCTGGGCTAGAGGCCGTGGTGGTGGAAGAGGAGAATTTCTGCCACAAAAAAATTGCAGAGACCAAGCAGGACTCTATTTATTTATTTATTTCATTATATTTATACCCCGCCCTCCCCGTGAGCGGACTCAGGGCGGCTTACAACAAGGCACAAAATGCATACAATATAAAATAGGTAAAACAGTTAAAATTCAGTTCAATCAGGATGCAAAAATAGAAAGATCCCAACATCTTGCATACCAGATGGGGAGGGCCAGGGCCGTAGATAGATGTTACTCGGCCCACGGTGTTGTGACCCCGACTGAAGTGCTCTTTGGGGCATATGTGGGGAAATGCAGTCCCTCAGGTATGTTGGACCCTGGCCATGTGGGGCTTTAAAGGCACTTTGAAGCGAATCCGGTATGCTATAGGCAGCCAGTGCAGTGCTTTCAGTATAGGTCGGGTGTGCTCCCACCTAGGGGCGCCCACTAACAGCCTGGCCGCAGCATTCTGCACCAGCTGCAGCTTCCGGATTTGCGACAAAGGCAGCCCCATGTAGAGAGTGTTACAGTAGTCTAGCCTCGAGGTGACCGTTGCATGGATCACTGTAGCTAGGTCATTGTGGTCGAGGAAAGGAACCAGCTGCCGTACCAGCCGAAGATGATAAAAGGCCGATCTGGCAGCAGCTGCCACCTGGGCCTCCATCGTTAAGGTGGGGTCCAGGAGCACTCCCAGACTCCTAACCTCCGAAGCTGGCACCAAAGGTGCCCCGTCGAAGGTCGAAAGCGGGAGCCCCAACCCCGGTCCGGTCCAACTCAAGCACAGGACCTCCGTCTTTGCCGGGTTTAATTTCAGCCTGCTCAGACTGAGCCACCCAGCCACGGCTTGTAAAGCCCGGTGCAGATCTTCTGGGTTGGAGTCCGACTGGCCGCCCAACATCAAATAGAGCTGGGTGTCATCTGCATATTGATGATACCCCAGCCCAAACCTCTGGGCAATCTGGGCAAGGGGGCGCATATATATGTTAAACAGCATCGGGGAAAGCACCGCCCCCTGAGGCACCCCACATTCAAGCGGGTGCCTCTGGGACTGCCGTTCCCCTAGCACTACCCTCTGACCACGACCTTGGAGAAACGAGGCAAGCCATTGAAGGGCAAGCCCCTGGATCCCCACGTCGGCAAGGCGGTGGGTCAGCAGCTGATGGTCGACCGTATCAAATGCAGCCGGCAGGTCTAACAACAACAGCGCCACCACACCGCCTCGATCCAGATGCCTACGGAGGTCATCAGTAAGGGCAACCAGCACTGTCTCCTTCCCATGTCCCGGGCGAAAACTTGCAGAAGAACCTACAATGGGGAATGAAAGTAATGAACAAATTCCTCTGTAATTAGAAGGGATCGCAGGAGGACATGCTTCAATACACACCAAAATAGGACTTTCGCAATGTTACATTTTGCACAATGTGGAGAAGGAGGCAGTCTGATGTAGATGTTTCACTAAAGGAAGTTATATTCAGGTGGGTAGCCATGTTGGTCTGAAGCAGCAGAACACGTTGGGCATGCACGTGAAAGAATTAAACTTTGTTGGCCTTAGATGTGCCACCGGACTCAAACTTTGTTCTAAAGGAAGTTATATTAGTAAATGAAATAAGTTGTTGTGCATTGCTGCCATCTTGTGCCAACCATAGTACATCTCAGGCAATACTCCTTCTCAATCAGGTGAGCCCAGCATTAGGGATATTTCCCCCTTTCTGGACCCCACCTCTGACAGACAGAGTGAGAAGACAGGGGAAAGAAGATGATCACTGCAGGCTTGGGTAACCAGGAAAAAATTATAAGGTTCATGAGAAAGTAGACTAAGTGTTCTAAATCTGGACTGGGCAATTATAGAAGGTGTTACATAACAAAAAGATTGGTGCTTTCTAAATTAATCCGGAAAATGCAGTATTAACAGACAACGTATCAGCACATGATAAAGAATGAACATTTTCAGATTTATCCAGGCACAAAAAGGTTCATTCACAGTTAGGAACTGCTAACAGCAGGAAACAAAAAACCGAACAAACTATTGCTTCTGTTCTTCCCATAAGTAAAAGCAATGTGCATGGAAAAGTTTAAGTCCTATCCTGCATTACCGGTATGCGGAAAACAACAAGACTGTTATTGACAGCTGCCTAAGCAGTAATGCCAATCTGCTTGAAGAAGAACACACAGGTATGCATGATGTTATTGTCAGGTTCACACTGATTAAAAGTTTTTTTCTCAGTTGACCTGGACATGACTGCTTTAATGTCTCAAAGAAAACAAGTCGGTTTCAACATTTTAAAGGAGAAAAATAAAATTCCCATACTTGCAAGGCAACCACAATTTTGTCTTCAAAAGTTCAGAAAAGTAAACAACCAAGCATGATAAACATCACTGACTGCGTTATTCGAAACAAGATTAGCCAGCCTATGGCACATCCTCCAAGGACATATTTGAAAACTTCAAACTCGCTTTGAGTCATATAAAAGACAGCAGACAACAATAAAGGTGGATTGATTTTAGCGAAGTTGGAACCAAATCAATATGTCTATGGTGCCCTATATTCTAGAAGGGACCCTGACTGGTGTGGAGGAGCCACTTTTTCCATATAACCAGGGTCATGTTACTTTACCCTGAGAAAGCACAGGAAAGGAACTGTGCAGTAGCAGTTCCTGTGCTGCCATCATAATGTAAGATGGGGGCCTTATATATAATGCCCTCAAAAATCCAAGATGGCACTCCAAAGAGAAGCAGGGAAAGGCACAGTCTACCCCCCTTCCTTCCAGCAAATAACCAGAATCATTCATCTGGTTCTGATCTATGAAAGTTTACATCTGTCACCTGTAAATTCCTATGCAAAAAATAAAATAAAATCATAATAGACCTGAGAATTTTATTCTCTTTCCTCTTCTGCTTCTGCAAAGTAATAATTAAAAAATATCTATACAAGTCTTTGAGAGTAATAATTCAATACCCACCATTTAATTGTATATTTGAGGTTGGGCTGACTGACTGTGCTGTCATCCAGGAAAATAGTGGAACAGGAACTGTATTTCCTTCTCAATTGACCAGGAGTATGCTAAAAAACAACATACAAGAAGAACAATAGTAGTCACATAATACAAAGGGTATTTTCCCTCCTTTAGAGAGCACAAGTAAGTAAACAGTTCCTCTGCTGCTGTACACACATGCAGGCACGTACACAGCATTCAGGGTAATGGGGAGGGGGGGATATAGAGCTCCTAGGTATCATGTGAATTGTACAGAAATCAACACTTTGCTACTGGCTCAAACACAAAGAACAATTCAAAGATATTTGCAGCCACATACATACATTTGGACCTAGCTTATTCTTAAAAGGGCAGAAATTTCAGACAAGAAGATGTATGTGAAAAGACATAAATAGAAGGTGCATGCCACGCAGGGCAGAAATTTCAGACAAGAAGATGTACGTGAAAAGACATAAATAGGTGCATGCCACACTCTCATTCCCAAACATGGAACTCATAATGAAAGTTATGTTCTTCAGATATCACTGGACAATACTGAACCTCCCTCAACCAGACAAAAGAAAGGAGCACTTAGAACCAATAGAAAAGGATTGTTCACAAAAGGAATGTTTTCTTAAGTGAGGCCATCTTTGTTTGCAAAGGAGCACTTAGAACCAATAGAAAAGGTTTGTTCACAAAAGGAATGTTTTCTTGAGGCCATCTTTGTTTGCCCCCTTAAACCAAAAAATGCCTCCCAGCACATTTTCAGCAAGTCCCCAATTTCTGTATTCCTTTTCTCTGGCTTCCCCATTTCTTCTAAGTTGTTAGAGAGAAGTCTATGGAAGAGAACTAAATGATGTCCAGTTTATACCCAGCAAGGACTGACAGCACACGCACTCTCAACCCCAACTACTCCATATGTACTTGGACTTACTATGAGCAGCAGCACTTCTTTCACTGTCCCCACTCCCACACCAAATTAACGATTAAGAGAAACGGTGCTACATCATTGCAACATTCAGAGACCACAAATATGTCATTGGCAATGTACAACCCAGGATGTAGAGGAAGTAGGTATATAAAGATGCTCTAAAACGTTTCCAGAAGCAGAAATCACCATAACCAAACGGATCACTAGATGCAGCAGTCGAATAGAAGTGCATTGAAATGAACCCAGCCTAACTGTGAAGCTGAGTACCAATCAAGTGCCAAAGCAATCACAGGTTGGTGTGAAAATGTTGTAAAAATATATTATTTGGTACTAAAGAGGGAAAAGACTCAGGTGATTTATAGCTTCTGTCACACTGTCTGTTGCTTCACATACTTCCACGTAAGTAAGTCTTCAGGCACCATTTCATAACCATGCTGCTCACTCCTCAGAGAAGGAAAAAGAGGGCAAGCTGATAAAAACCACTGAACTCCAACCTCAAAGCAAAACAGCCCATATGAAACTGCCTTGTATACAACACCTAGCAAGGACTGTTTACTTCAGATTCATGACAGCTCTCCAAGGACTCCAGCAGAGGTCTTTTCAAACCATGCCACGCATAACCTTGGATTTTAAGCATTCAAGATCTCTCTGCCACTGAGCTATGAGCCCTCTCAGAATGTACAGCTCCACGCTCCGAAATACAGGGTAAGAACTATCACCCTTCTGCTCTGCAAGGAAGCCCATGTTTGTCATATTTTCTGAACATATTCCTCTGTCCCTCTGCGCCAGTGCCAAAGCCAATGTCTATAAACTGGAGAGTGTGCAGATATTCTCAGGCACTGTTACATGCATCTGTTCTGAACGGCACTTGATTACAAATGTCACTAAAGCTAATCTCTTATTCTTACATGGCTATTTGTCTGCCGTATTTTAATGCAATTTTATATTTTACCTAAAGTAAGTAACTTCAGAGTACTGAGGAAAGCATGGTATAAATGCTTAATTAAATAATCTTCCTGCAGCTGTAGAATATGTTGTTTGCTGTTCTAATCCAGTAGTGACTTTAGAAGAACAGAATAGGATACCTCTGACCCATCCTTACATGCAAAGAGGTATTACTAATTCAAAGCAGTAGCTCTTCTTAAGCCAGTTTCTTGAGATACAGGGCAGTGGGTATATGGTGAACTCCTACAAATGCAGGGTAGTATCAGCAAGAGTCCCCTGTCAGGGTACATTTAACCCACCCAACTCATAGAATCATAGAGTTGGAAGGGACCTCCAGGGTCATCTAGTCCAACCACTCGCACAATGCAGGAAATTCACAAATACCTCCTCCTCCACACCCACAGTGACCGCTGTTCCACATTCAGAAGATGACAAAAAACCTCCAGGATTGCTTCCTGACCCCAAAGTGGCAATCAGCATTTCCCTGGGCATGTAAGAAAGGGCCACAAGAACTAAGCACTGAGGCAACCCTTCCTGCCCTCCCTCTCACGACCTGCCTAAGTTCACAGAATTTTCATTGCAGTCAGATGGCCATCTAGCCTCTGCTTGAAAACCTCCAAAGAAGGCGAGCCCACCACTTCCCAAGGAAGCCTGTTCCACTGAGGAACCGCTTTGTCAGGAAGTTCTTCCTAATGTTTAGCCAAAAACTCTTCTGATTTAATTTCAACCCACTGGTTCTGGTCCGACCTTCTGAGACAACAGAAAACAACTCCACACTATCCTCTATATCAGTGATGGAGAACCTTTTAGAGACCGAGTGCCCAAACTGCGACCCAAAACCCACTTATTTATCACAAAGTGCCAACACGGCAATTTAACCCGAATACTGAGGTTTTACTTTAGAAAAAACCACTCATACATTAATTTAAGATGAGCCAAAAGGAAAGCAATCCCAAATGCTTTCATTTACTTAAAATTATTTGGCAGAGAATTCGACACTTTAATAATGGTCTGGGCCTGGCTGGGGCGATGGCACGCGTGCCCACAGAGAGGGCTCTGAGTGCCACCTCTGGCACCCGTGCCGTAGGTTCGCCACCACTGCTCTATATGACAGCCCTTCAAGTACGTGAAGAAGGTTATCATATCACCTCTCAGTCGTCTCCTCTCCAGGCTAAACATACCCAGCTCCTTCAGCCTTTCCTCATGGTGTGAGAGGGAAGGAACGTTCCGCATGGCTCAGGACTCCCCCCTTCCAACACACACACACACACACCCATCTGGTACTCTCCTTCTGGTTCGAGAACTATGAATCTTGGGATTTGCAGGAAATTTTTCCCATGGAATGAACACTGCAACTAAGGTTTACACTAGCATTTATTTCTGACCCCTCTGCACAGTACTCTGAAAGTTCAGCACCTCTGAATTGTTCTTTCTACATAGCTTTTTAAAGAACATGTTGCAAGTCATCTATATTTGGGGGAAATGAGAATATTATTGGAACTGCAATACAATGCACCCCCCTCCCAAGAAAAAGGTAGGCATTCCTTGGACAGGTGCTATTAACCAAAGCAACTCTGAGGCATTTCACCCAGTTCTGGGAAGACTTCTGGTTGATACTTGCTGGACTCAGTGATCTGCTTTAACCGTGATTGATGAGCCATCGTGATTAAAAAGAGCAGTGAAAATGACCCCAGCAACACAGGAACCAATGAGAAGAATGTTCTTAAGTGGAGTCCTGGGAGAGGGAAGTAAAGATTTTGACTGCTGGAGTTTTAGTCATTTAAAGTTGGGTGTTGGGAGTGAGTGAGAAGGGTTTTTGAAGGGTTATTTTGACAGGAGTATGGATTAGCCGTCTGGGTAACGGAGTGTAATAAGGTGCTACAATATACTAGCAGTGTTTGCTGGGTCTAGCGTATAGCTTAGTCACAGCAGACTGCTGTATTCATATGAAGTAAACCTCCCAAGAAGGGTTTTCCTTCCTTGGTATACAGTTTAAAACCTGAAATCACATACCTCTTTGTTGATTGTTAATATTTACCTCCGCTTGTATTTTTTTTCTTTTAAATAAGCTTTTGTTTTTTTGTTTATTGAAGAATAAATCATACTCCCTGTCAGTTTGTTTCATAACTCAGCAGTCACAAGCTGGGGTGAGGAGTATACCCAAGGTGACGTACTATTTCCTCAAACAAGCTTCTTTTCCCCCTCAGGAAATTCCCCCAGGGAACCATCACATCATCATTTTATTGATTCTTTACTTGAAGCTGCTTCAAAAACCACTGGGCTTAAAAAGTGGGAAGATATTAATCCTTTAAAATGTTACTACTTTTAAATGGCTCCTAGGAAAATTAATTCCAGGTTAAGAGGATCCCAAAGACAAATTCCACTGACAGCATCTCCCCCTTTCCCATCTTCCTTCAGATTCTCAAGATTCAAACACAACCTGGACTGCCTTCAGAGAAAACAGCAGGGAACCCACAAGGACTCAATGGGGCATCTTACTTTCCCCCTGTATCCCCCTCCCCAGAATACTTTGTCATTCCTTTCCCTCAGTCATTCCCCATAAAATCCCCCCCAAAAGCAGGCTACAGTTCCTTATTTGCCATCTAAAAGGGCCTCCTCATAAGACCATTAAGCAGCAAATAAATATGATCTCTCCAAGTTTGAAAGGTGAAGAGTAGAGCGCAGAGTCCAGTAAATCCAATGGTCAAATGACTCTGGCAAAGCAGAGACTTCGGCTGCTGGGATGAATAGTTGTCTGGGACTGTTGTTAAGCAGAAGCAAATAGGTAAACCAGGTTAAGAAGCTAGCAAAGCGATTCTTACACAGGGTTTATCTGGCCTAAACCCTCTGAAATTAGTGGGTTTAGATTCAACTAATCCTGCATAGAATTGCACTGTAACTCATTCACCTCCAGACATCAATGAGCACTAATTTTGTAGGCGGCAGTAAAAGAGCCAGGGAGGCAAGCAAGAGCCCAGAAAGAACTCTTTCCAGATTGAGAGTTCTCCCCAAGCAATACCATCTGAACAGACCACAATGACTGCAGAAAGCAATATGGAGCAACAGGTGGAGAAAATGAACAGGTGGTGCTCCCTGAGGGTCCAGAAACTGAAATAAAGCTCTTGCTTGGAAAAACAGCCCCTCCCTATTTAAATAGCATTTAAATCAAAGGAAACAACTAGAAATCAAGGTCCTTAAATTCCTGCCCGGGGC